TCACGGAGTCAGAAAGGGATCGAAGAGACGTGGTTAATGAGACCACCTAGTGGTGCACGTAATGGGATGAAGAACTTTCAAGGAATAGAAACGTGCCCACTGAAGTGAGGGAGTTGTATGACACTTCCACCAAAGGTTTGGGTTACCCTTTTGGAGGCTTTCTGCAACAACCTCTAAAACCTCTGGGTCCCCACTTTCAGCCCGCATCTACCCTTACGCTTTCACTAGGATGCCTGTGGGGGTGTTCAGGATGTGCCCAGGTTACCGGCAGTTTCACATGCAAAGCTGTTTGACCCGGAGGGTGCAATATGCTGCACTGATGAAGGCAGTGTCAGACACGGCTTCAGACACGGCTAACCAGACCTTTTCTGAGGTGACAGAGCAGGAGTTCCTACTTGTCCCATTTTAACACAGCCAGGTGTTAATTTTCTAAGTTCTCCTATACAGTTTTTGAATCTAGGCAACTGCCTCAGAAAAAGAGAAGTCCTTTTGTTTCCAAGGTATCAGTAACACACAAGTTCCAAACAGAAAATAACCGGTTTCACGCGTTACGTAGTCTGTTACGCCCTAAACCTGATCTCCCAGTGTTTTCTGAACTGTTACCAGCTGTCATATTTCAGGTTGCCCTTCAGAGGGTGTAAATTTACCTGGGAATGGGTACACTACTTAATAATGAAAAATTCTACAAGGAAGGGTAGGTCGAATCGAAGATGGGGAATGAGAAATGACAAAAAAGAAGTACGCTGTGTGGGTTTTTTACTGCACACACACCTTTGGCTGTGTATACGCTCACTGTGTAGCTGGCCGTGTACTTGTTTATAAAGAATACAAAAGACATTCTGTTGTAAACTTTAAAGAATATTTAATAACTTTTAAAAAATAAAATGTATATTTTAAATTTCGTTCTTTGTATGAATGCACAAAAATGTACCTTTGTAGTTGCAGCGACAAAATCCAGAGAGCTGAGGAGACCTGCCCGCTGCGCTAAGACACCGGTGACAATCTAGGAGAATTCACAGTGGAATCCAAACAAAATTTCCCAGGGTGAGTTCTGACTTGGTTTTTATTTTTGCTGTGAATTGTCTAACTCTGTCTACGAAGATCATTCGCACTGTGCAAGAATCCTTGCAGACAAAGTTAATAAAGAGTCTGGGTTTGAAATAAATGTCACCAGCAGCTGCTGGTTTCTGCTGCTGACCTTTGGGGCCACATTTACAGGACGAAGCTAAGGGGTACGTGAATGGCCTCAACTCTCTCCATGCTAACAACCTCCTGTCCTACCCATGACCAGGGCAAGAGGCAGCCGGGAGCCACGTGCACTGGAAGGTGTAACCGGTTCCTAATTTGTGAGACATGAGGGGATTTGGGGAGGATTCACATAGCAGACGTATTGCTGATGCACGATAAAGTATTTTTACAGCTTCTGTGCAGCTCCTTCCTCTCCATATTACAAATCATACAATGCTGCATTCAAATGGTAATTATTAAATGGAAGAATAAACCTTTACGAGTTTATATTGTTAGGGGGGGACAACAAAGAAGTATTCATAGAACAGAAACCAGAGTGAATTTCACTGATTGTGCACTCTAAGATGTGGAGCTAAATGATTCTGTTGTACAAGCAGTAAGGTTTGGCTTATTCCTGTACAGTTACTGTACAGGAAAATAAACCATATTCCATTAAATATATATATATATACACGTACATGTATTGCTGTGAAGATGAAAAGTCAGAATTATATTGGACTGAATCTAAAAGCTAAATCCTGATGTTGCTGAATTCAGCAGGTCCAGGCGTGCGTCCTATGCATCACATCTTGTGATTAAAGAGAAAGAGCAATAGGGATAAGTTAGGAGTGCTCTCCTCCAATGCCTCTGTTACATTTAAATTAAAGACAGAACCAAAGGCATCGAGTCCTCCTTCATGTTTAAAGATAAGTGAAAATAATATAAAAGACTTTACTAAAAGTGACAAAACACTAATGGAAGGAATTGGAATGGCTTCCGTGTTGTTCTACATATATATGATACAAATAGCCTTTTAAATGGGTATTCTGTACTGCAGGGTATTTATTTATCAACTAGTTCAACACAATGGAAGGAATTGGAATGGCTTCCGCGTTGTTCTACATATATATGATATAAATAGCCTTTTAAATGGTATTCTCTACTGCAGGGTATTTATTTATCAACCAGTTCAACTAGAAGTTTTATGCATAATATGGAACTATCTTTTTGGTTTTTAAAAGACTGTTATTGTTACATACCACAAAATATTCTGCCCTCAGCAGCAGGGAAAGGATGCAATGCTTTTAAAAAGAAAATATGGTAAGTCTGAGGCTTGTTACAGACAGCATGAACAGAGGTTTGGAACTGGACCGTGCTGGTCATGCTTTAAGCACCGTAACATCTGTTTGGCCCGTGTGAAGAGTTAGTAACATTGAGTACAGAAAACAGTCCAAATTACAAACCAGTTGCATCTCGGTTGGCAGTGTAAGGGTAGTGGTTTAGAAGAAGAATTATTAGCAGTCATGTGATCTGTGTTTTTTATTGTTAATCTGTTTTCATCTGTTTGTGCTGCCTGTTTCTGTTACAGTGACTGGGATTTACAAAGTGAGTATCTGCTTATACTACCTACAGATAGGTGTTTTTGAAAGCAGAGGCAGTTGTAAAGACACCTGAACGGTGGCGAGTGATTAGAGGGAACCGCAAAGTGTGACTTGTCGTCAGTCGCTGTTTCTCATTGTGTTTCTGCTGTAGGTTTAGCTGAAGTCTAGCAGTCTTCTCTAAGAGCTCAGCATATATTATGGGGAGATGTCTGTGATCCCTCATTGCGCTACACCACCAACAGGTGAGGTGATGAGAGTTGCCCGCTGTTGCACAACGGTCTGCTCTTACCAGCTGAGCCGTCATCAGCCTGCTGTCTCTGGGATAATTTGTAATGGCAGGGATCACTACAAATAGACTTGTCTACCTTTTATCTTTCTTAAAAACCCATGTTTTATTAATGCAATCATCACTCTGTTATGCTGCTTTTCAGTGGTGGAAACTCTGAGCTGTCAGCAGGAGCACCTGTGTGTACACTAGCGACCATGGCAGGAACTAATGGCACATCTGACCTGAAGAGGTGTCTGTGCAGGTAAGAAAGGAACGGGAGGGAGGGAAGGAATGACCTTGCACCATCTTTTGAAGTGCCCGTAGGCTGTGGGTAGGCGAGGCCAGCTTTACTGCTGGAAATGGCCTTCACATCAAAGTAAGCAAAATGTGGCTGGCAGCTGGGACTTGCTGTTGTAAGCACTGAAGTTGCAGGGTCATCTGTTTGCCTGAACTTGCTGCATGCTTCTGGTCTGTCACAGTAGGAATGGCTGCATTGAGCTTCCTGGGAAAACAGGACTGTGGTTGTGCCTCTGGGGTATTGTCAGTGGCTGAGAGGTCCTCCAGGGCTGGCTGCAGGGAGCAGGCCGGCTGCATTGCTCTGCTTGCCTGTTCCCTGCTGTGCCCTTGCCCTGGGGTGCTTCAGCCTCACCCTGTCCCTGTGCATTATCGGGGGCTGTTTGCTGACAGGGAATGGCTTGTTTGAACAACAGGAAACGTCCGGTGCTTAACCTCATCACTAGAAGGTGTGTGCAGAAGAGTACTACTTAAATTACTTCAGTTACCAGTGCCAGGTAGGGGAATTAGACAACTGGTGTCTGTTTCCTGGCTAAGGAAAGTCAGGATTTTGATTTCTGCGAATACCAGAAAGCGTGGGGCATATTCCAGCCAACAGCCAGGCAGAGGGAGGTGCCTCACTTTCTGAAAAACAGAACTGAGAGGTGACTCCAGTTCTAACAGAGACTGATGTGTCTTGGCTGTTGTAAGCATGCAGCTGGGAAAGAAAAGCTAAGAATAAAAACATTTGAAGTCTTAATAACTCTCAGAAGAATAAGCAATGTGCAAAAGACTTTTCCTCAGCCAGGCAGACTCTATCATACCTGCAGATGATGATGTCCCAAAGTAAATTAATGAAATGGTGACATTCAGGGAAGGAACAGCTGACAGCTTTGTACAGACCTTCAAGTGTGGAAATGAGTGATATTTTTTGGCAGACTAACTTGAAATAGGGATGATGAAAAATAAACCCATAGTAGAATGACAGAGAGCGCCCACTCACAAGTTGTTTACTGAAATGAAGATACAGCTGAAAGTAATTATTTGTTTCCCAGAGGTAAAAGTTATAGTGCCTCCTACAAGAAATAATACTCTTATTTCAGTTGGAATGTGAAATGGGATAGAAAGGTTCCCTCTTTTTGAGGTTAGATGCTGGGTATTTTCACCTCCTTTCGGAACAGCTTGTGTATATGAATATAGTATATGTTACAGTCAACCATCTGTATGCCACTGGCAATTAGTGAGACAATGTCCAATATTGTTTTCCCGTAACAGCCAGATCTCACTGTACGGATTCTGATTAAAAGCCTGACTTTGCAGCACATAAGATAAAAATACTCCTTTAAAATAACATATTTCTGAAGATGATCCTTTCCTGGCTACAAAATCATCTTGAGACACTTGGAGGCAGGGTTGCTTGATCTTGACATTACAGCTGCGTGCAAACCGTAGTACAATTACAATTGCATTCAGTGCTACCTGCTCCCGACCTTTGCTCCGCGCTGAAGAACACCCGTTTTCTACGCCCTCTCTCCCAGGCCGTTGCAGGAAGGCAACCTGGCGCATGTCGCAGAGGTTGCCTCAGTGCAATCCTTTCCTAAGGTGAGTCTGCAGGCCAGTCCCTTGGAAGCAGCCTCCTTTGCCATGGAAAAGGAACCGCTGCTCTCTAAAGGCAAGAAAAGCTCCGAAGACAAGGCTGCTTCTTACCTGTGCCAGGTCAAGCACTGACTCTTTCTTTTCTTCCTCCTTCAGTCAAGTGGGGTGACTCACAAAATCTTCAGAAAGATTGCATTATACACAGTTTATAGTACAAAGGAGGGGGAAAAAGGTCGGATGAATGAGCATGAAGATTTCTCCTGTGTCCTTTGGAGGAGGAGCAGAAAGACTGGGAGTAGTATCTATGCACAGTAGGTGTCTGCCTTGACTACCTGACAGTACATGGTCATTGCGAAGGTGAGTCCGAGAATCTGAGAGGAAAGAAATGAACAATGGTTTTTCAGTAAGGAAAAAACATCCCTATTTATTGGAAAGAAAAAGAAGAGAAAAGCATACTTAGACTGGTTTTGTTCACACACAGACACATCACATCCTGCATTTCCTGCCAGTTCATGCCCTCGTTCTGTTGCTAGTTTCTGTCTGCCTTTTGTCCCTCCCTGTGCTGCTGCTTTACAGAGCGAACAGTGAGAGCATGGGAGAGCGCTTTTCTCCACGGAAAGCATTCACCAGACATGGGCAAAGAGGTGTGTTGAAAAGAAATGTTTGGATGTCTTACCCAAAAATATTTTATAGTAGCAACCCACAGCTGTGGGGCTGTGTGGGTCTCTGTAGCTGCTGCTTTGAGAGAGTCAGCTCATCCCCAACCCAGAGGACGCTGTGGTTTACTGTACTGTGCTGCTCACACAGGTCCCCATGGGGGAATCAGGGGAGACTGTCCGTGCATTACTCAGAACCATCAATGCCTCACCAGCAATGTATGAGTCTTTCTCCTCAGCCTATTCAAGAGAAGCAGGGTGTGCATGTGTGGTGGTGGTTCTCCCAGCACAACTACCGACCTGCTGCGCTGCCTCTGGTAGATTACTGCATCAGAAAAGGGGATGGGAGTCTCATCTTCCTTCCAGCTGAAGTACTTACGTGCCTGTACTAAGTGGTGGTTGTTATGCCTTTGCAACACCACTGAAAAAATTGTCATTGAAATAAAGGTTTGCCAGGTGAAATTTTTTGTATGGATTCTATTTTAAGCATTTAATTTGACCGCTTCAAATTTAGTCTTTACAAAAATAGTTCCTGTAAATGAGTATTTTGAAAGAGTACATGAGTAATGCACATACTACTTTATAAAGTAACAGCTTTATAAGCATTTTTGGCATAGACTCACCTCTTGGATTATAACCAATCTTCCCCACAATCAACAGAAAAGGAGGATGGTTTTACTGGCAGTGTTGACTAATGGTAACAACATCCCGACTTGTAACTTCCCTGAGACTGAGGATGGGATTGAACACTTAAGCTGGCTTCTGGCTATCTTGGAGTTAAGGATGTAGCCTAAGGAATGGGGCCTCTCTGGAAAAGAACTGGAGCAATGCAGGTACCCCACAAGTGGATTCCCCCTCCCCTGACCGGCCTTCTGTGTTCGGAGGGCGGGGACTACCTTCCCCTGGGTCTAGTCTAAACCTTTGACAGACCATTGGTAAAGTGCCTGCAGTGCATGGTAAAACGGAAAATGTGTGCAGAATTCCTAGTTCTGTACCTTGTACATAGTATTTTAACCAAAGTAAAACATAAACGCGTCAATTCTTGCAGAATTTTACTCTAAACATCACGCAAAATTTGGAGTTATTAAAACAAACAGGCTTGGGCAGAGTCTATCTGCATCTATGGGTCCCTATTTAGTTACCATTAATATGGCTTTGAAAAATTGATATTCAGCTGTACCTGCACCATAGCTGTGCACAATCCAAAGATCCCCACTGCTAGTAAGTTTTCCTGGAGCCATATTTTCACTGTTTCGTAACAAGGCTGGAGGAAAAAAACACAAAACAGAACAAACCCAGAACGTTGTATTAGCAATAAACACACTGCCCTGCTGCCCTAGGAACGTACAGACAGAAAAGAGCCAGACCAGACTAAGCTGCTGGGTAGCCTGGATTACCGTTTCAGCACTGGAGCAACTACTGTGTACTTCTGGACAGAAGCTTGAGCGTGGAGCATTACAACTGCAATGACTCCAAAAAGTGCACCTCTGAAATGCTGCATGAGCACCCCTCCATATAAACTGGGCCAGTAACTAAAAACAAACCAGCCCTGGATTTAGGTCCTCTTTGGACTCTAAAAGCCAACTAGAAACAGTCAGAACTTCAGAATGAGCATTTCATTTTCTCCATGTTTCAGGAAAACAAATATTCTAATATATATATCAAACCCAAAAGTTCCAGTGAGAGCTGCTCAGCAGCCACTCCTGCTGCAGATGGGCCTGTTTCAGACCCTTTCGTTTCAGAGCATTTTCCATCACTTCAAATTGCACTATGGGTGCTCCTCCGTTAGCTTCTTCCTGCTTTAAGTTCTGCAGTAGCCGTAACCTCGTGTTCCTGGCCCAGTTTTAAGGAGGGTGGAATTGGCCCACGTGAAACCTTTCTTTTAATAATGTGTAAATAATAGTCTGTAAGACAACCTTGTGCAAAAATTATGCCCTCTGCCTTGTAAATATACATGGCCAAGAATCATCCAGCCCTCAGGTGGTGGCTTTCACCTTACGTATAGAGGATAAACTATTAGTTCCCACCGGAATACACGGTGTTAACCTGTACGGAGCCTTGTGGTACCCCCAATAAAATGGGAGAACTACTGAGTTCTTAAATTCAGAATTTAACTTGCAGCTACGCGAGAGGTAGAGAATTAAGTTTGGTTGGCACTCAGCCCCTGCCAGTGCCAATCCATGCGTATGGCATCTTGCTAGAAAGCGGCCAAGAGAGCTTTACTCACTGTCTTCACAAACCATCAGAACCAGCAAAACTGCCTTCTAATTCCACTTCCTCAGGCGGCCTCATCCACCTCGCTCCGGGGTAACTGCACGACCCATCATCGGCACAAAGCATTGCTGGGCTGGTTTCAGAGGAGAGTTTGGGCTC